TCTCTCTCACACACACACAAAAACCCACTCTCTCTCACACACACACACAAACCCACTCTCTCTCTCACACACACACAAAAACCCACTCTCTCTCACACACACACAAACCCGTTCTCTCTCACACACACACACAAACACACTCTCTCTCACACACACACACAAACACACTCTCTCTCACACACACAAACCCACTCTCTCTCACACACACACACACAAACCCACTCTCTCTCTCTCACACACACACAAACCCACTCTCTCTCACACACACACACACAAACCCACTCTCTCTCTCTCACACACACAAAAACCCACTCTCTCTCTCACACACACACAAAAACCCACTCTCTCTCTCACACACACACACACATACACTCTCTCTCACACACACAAACACATACACTCTCTTTCTCACACACACACACACACATACACTCTCTCTCACACACACACACATACACTCTCTCACACACACACACACACACACATACGCTGTGTCTCTCAGACACATATTCAGTGCTATCAAGCAGCACCTGCTCAGAAATAACCTGCTCAGTGATGCCCAGTTTGGGTTCTGCCAGGGCCACTCAGCTCCTGACCTCATTACAGCCTTGGTTCAAACATGGACAAAAGAGCTGAATTCCAGAGGTGAGGTGAGGGTGACAGTCCTTGACCTCAAGGCTGCATTTGACCAAATGTGGCATCAAGAAGCTCTGGCAAACCTGGAATCAATGGGTATCAGGGGGCAAACGCTCCGGTGGTTGGAGTCATACCTGACACATAGGAAGATGCTCGTGGTTGTTGGAGGCCAATCATCCCAGCTCCAGGACATCTCTGCAGGAGTTCCTCAGGGTAGTGTCCTAGGCCCAACCATCTTCAGCTGCTTCATCAATGACCTTCCCCCCATCATAAGGTCAGAAGTGGGGATGTTTGCCGATGATTGCACGATGTTCAGCACCATTCGCAACTCCTCAGATACTGAAGCAGTCCATGTTCACATACAACAAGATCTGGACAATATCCAGGCTTGGGCTGACAAGTGGCAAATGACATTCGCGCACACAAATGCCAGGCTATGACCATCACCAATAAGAAACAATCTAACCACCGCCCCTTGACATTCAATAGTGTTACCATCACTGAATCCCCCACGATCAACATCCTGAGGGTTACTATTTACCCAAAACTCATCTGAATATGCCACATTAACACAGTGGCTACAAGGGCAGGTCAGAATTTGCAAATACTGCAGCAAGTAACTCACCTCCTGACTCTCCAAAGCCTGTCCCACCATCTACAAGGTCCAAATCAGGAGTGTGATGGGATACTCCCCACTTGCCTGGATGAGTGCAGCCCCAACAACACTCAAGAAGCTCCACACCATCCAGGACAAAGCAGCCGCTTGGTTGGCACCACATCCACAAACATCCACTCCCTCCACCACCGACACTCAGTAACAGCAGTGTGTACTATCTACAAGATGCACTGCAGAAATTCACCAAAGATCCTCAGGCAGCTCCTTCCAAACCCATGACCACTTCATAGAGTCTCTACAGTGTGGAAACAGGCCATTCGGCCCAACAGGTCCAAACCACCCCTCTGAAGAGCATCCCACCCAGATCCATTCCCCTACCCCTGCATTTCCTATGTCTAATTCACCTAACCTAAACATCCCTGGACACTATTTAGCATGGCCAATCCACTTACCCTGCCCATCTTTGGGCTGTGAGAGGAAAACTGGAGGAAACCTACACAGACGCAGGGAGAATGTGCAAACTCCACACAAACAGTCACCCGAGGGTGGAATCAAACCCAGGTCCCTGGTACTGTGAGGCAGCAGTGCTAACCACTGAGCCACCGCGCCACACTTCCATCTAGAAGGACAAGGGCAGTAGATACATGGGAACACCACCCCCTGCAAGTTCCCCTCCAAGCCACCCACTATCCTGACTTGGAAATATATCGCTGTTCCTTCAGTATCACTGGGTCAAAATCCTGGAATTCCATCCCTAAGAGCATTGGGGGTCAATTTAAACCTGAAGAAGTGCAGTGCTTTAGGGAGGCAGCTCAGACCACCTTCTCCAGGGCAAATGGCAATTCGCAATAAATGCTTGTTCAGCCAATCATGACCTCAGCTAATGTAGACTGTAACAAATAGGAACAGGATTAGGCAAATCGGCCCCTCAAGGCTATTCTGCCATTTAATAGGATCATGGCTGATCCAACATTCCTCACATCCACTTTCCTGCCCTTTCACTGTAACCCTGATTGCCCAACTGATCAAGAATCTATTGATTTTTGCCCTAAATATACACAAAAACTCTGCCCCACAGCTCTCTGTGACAAGGGGTGACAGACTCAATCCTCTGAGAGAAGAAATTCCTCCTCATCTCAGTTTTAAATTGGTGCCCATTCATTCTGAGACTGTGCCCTCTGGTCCTAGCCTCTCCCATGAACGGAAACACCCTCTCAGCATTGACCCTGTTAAGCCCCTTAAGAATCCTTTATGTCTCAATTAGATCACCTCTCATTTTTCTAAACTCCAGTGAGTAGAGTCCCAACTTGTTTAGCCTTTGCTCATAAGACAATCCCTGCGTACTGGGGATCATTCGAGTGAACCTTCTCAGAAATATAGAAATAAAGAAAACATTCTCACACAAATACTCTCTCTCTCTCACACACACAGACACACGTGCATCGCACACACATGCATGCACATGCACACACAACACGCACACACACACAAGCACACATGCAAACACGCACACACACAACACACACACACAAACACGCACGCACGCGTGCGCACACACACACAAACACGCACACACAAACGCACACACACATACAAACAGGCACGCACACATGAACACGCACGCGCACACACAAATACGTACACATACACAAATACACAGGCACACACACAGACACACACACAAACACAGACACACACACACACACACACACACAGATACACACACGCAGAGACACAAACACAGGCACACACACAAACATGAGGCTCAATATGCTTGAAGTGCTGAGCTTTATTTGCTTTGATGCTGCAGGTTTCTGCTGCCTCCTTATGGTGAGTTCTCGCCAGTGCCTCTCAGGCAAATGACTATTCTGAAATTTTAACTTGAATAATGCCTATTGTTTTTCCCTCTTTCAAAAAGTTCCATGAAAACATCTTTTGCTGGCACTTATTTGAAGAATGTGTGTGTGTCTCTGTGTATGTGTGAGTGTGTGTGTGTGTCTCTGTGTGTCTGTATGTGTGTGTGAGTGTGTGTCTGTGTGAGTGTGTGTGTCTGTGTGTCTGTGTGTGTGTGTCTGCATGTGTGTGTGTGTGTGTCTGTGTGTGTCTGTATGTGTGTGTGTGTGTGTGTGTGAGAGTGTGTGTGTGTGTATGTGTGTGTCTGTACGTGTGTGTGTGTGTGTGTTTGTGTGTGTCTGTGCATGTGTGTGTCTGTGCGTGTGTGTGTCGGTGCATGTGTCTGTGCCTCTGTCTGTATGTTTCTGTGTGTGTCTGTGTATGTGTGTGTCTGTGCGTGTGTGTGTCTGTGCGTGTGTGTGTCGGTGCATGTGTCTGTGCCTCTGTCTGTATGTTTCTGTGTGTGTCTTGTGTGTATGTCTCTGTGGGTGTGTGTGTGTGTGTCTGTGTGTGTGTGTGTGTGTGTGTGTGTGTGTCTGCATGAGTGTGTGTGTGTGTGTCTGTGCCTCTATATGTGTGTGTCTGTGTGTATGTCTGTGTGTATGTCTGTATGTGTCTGTGTGTGTGCGCGCGTGTGTGTGTCTGTGCGTGTGTGTGTCTGTATGTGTCTGTGAGAGTGTGTGTGTGTGTGTGTGTGTGTGTGTGTGTGTGTGTGAGAGAGAGACTGTGTGCCCATGGGGAAGACTGGACATTGTCTTGGGAAGGGAAGGGGGTAACTGGAGATAGATTCTGCTCTTGCCCGTCTACTGATAGCCCAAGAGTCAGTGACTAACATCAACAAGAAATAAAAAACAGAGAGAGAAATGTTTACTTTAGGACAAAGACAGCTTCCCTCAGACTAACTGGGCACCAGGCAAACGGTAAGGTTGAGAAAGCAGAGCCTTCATGGTAATAGCAGCTGGGGTAGGATTCAAACCCACGCTGCATCACAAAGCAACCATCCAACCAAATGAGCTAAACAGCCCGGATGTGAGGTGGCCTGCCATTGTCCCACAGGTCTATGGGTGCTGCTTTCTCATGAGGGAGAGGGTCAGGTGGTGGCAGTTTAGCGTGTGGATCACCAGACCCCTCAGACCAGCCAACAGTCTTCTGCCTGTCTGATTCTAATCACTCCATCGCCAGGGTCGCTGTACCTTCAGCTGCCTGAACCTGAACATTGGCATTCCCTCTCTGTACCTTCTAACCTTCCCTTAGTCATCCAACCTCATACTTCTCATGTGGCTCAATGTTAAATTTTTCTCAAGAATGCCCCTTTGAAGCAGCCTGGAGAGTTTTGTTGTGATAAAGGCGCAATGTAAATGTAATGAGTTGTTGTTGACTGTAGGTTACAGTCAGTAATCTAACTGACTTTCTCCTTTGTTGTAGTACATCCCAATGCCAGTACTTTATGGAGTTTTCCTGTACATGGGAGTAGCTTCTCTCAAAGGTGTGCAGGTCAGTAACCATAACAACAGCCACGGCTTTTAAGCTACATTCCAAAGAAACCATCTGACAATTATTAACTAACACCTCGATAGTCAAACTTAGTCTGAATATCTGTTTCTGAAAATGATCAGAGAGACAATTATTTCACCGAGAGGTTGCAAATCATTTCAGTGCATAATCTTAAGAAATAGATCGCATCGCACTGACGGAGGGTCAGTGCTGAGGGAGCGCCACACTGTCGGAGGGTCAGTGCTGAGGGAGCGGGCACTGTCGGAGGGTCAGTACTGAGGGAGCGCCGCACTGTCGGAGGGTCAGTGCTGAGGGAGCGCCGCACTGTCGGAGGGTCAGTGCTGAGGGAGCGGGCACTGTCGGAGGGTCAGTACTGAGGGAGCGC